GTTTTGTGACTTTTAATTTGTATAATTCAATGTATTCCAAAATGATTCTGATGATGAACTCAAGAATTTTTGAAAAAGTGGTGAGACGTGTAGGTCTCTTATAAGCGTTATGCCGGACTTTTGTGGTAGACTTGTTGATCAGAAGCAGTAATGCTTGTACCACATGAGCATGACGAAATACCAATGTGGATGCTCATTCGAAGATGTGCGGAGATGGCTTTGAACATTGCATGCCGTACAATTTCAGTTCATATGATGATGGAATACAAATCATTCACAATGTCTTGGCCATACATAAGTAGAGACTGAGTGGCATAAGAAAATGAGACCATGAAAAGGAAAAAAGGTACTATATAGTTTCATCATATGTAGTGAGATTTGAGCTTGTGAGACTATATTACTTCCTCTTTGTTTAAATGATGCTTGGTGGCGCCTTGGTATTTGAGAAACAAGACTTGCTCTTATTGCAGAAAAGGAATCTCCTATGCTGCCAATGATTTTTATGTCTGATATCTTATCATCTGATTCTCAGTCTATAAACCACATTTAACAAAGGAAGATTCTCACATATGAAATCATAGTTCATACTTTGTGGCCAATTTTTTTTACATTTTTGCTCAATTGGTTCTCATAATCAATTCTGATATCCAAAGATGAAATATATTTTTTGTTGGTATATTACCATGTCAAAATTTATATAAATCCTCATCATTATCTTTCCTTACTAATTTTTGTAAGTTTTTTGTGGGGAAAAACTTGATATCTTTAATTTGTAGTCTCTTTGGATGATGGAACCTTGGTTATTACCAATAAGGGTCAAGTCAATGCCCAACATCCTGATGAACTAATCACTATATATTACAATCCACTCATCCTTCTTCTTTTTTCTTACCTTTCTTGTATATGAACTTTCTTTTTCTTGTCATCTTGTCACCAAACATCTCAAAGTAGCAATATCTCCATGTGATTACCTCACCTGCAAGATTCACAATCCAGCAATTTCTCTATGTCATAATGACATTATGTCAAGAGAGATGTTTTATGTAGAAGGGAAATAATGTTGCTTGCTTCATTTATTTACTCATTTTGACAATATGTTCTCCTTGAACACTTTTCACCTTTAGACATGAGCTGATCTCCATGATATTGATACTTGACCCAATGGTTTTAGCATCTAGACTTTTGTGGTAAGATCATGCAAGTTGATCATGATATTGATAAAGCATCTTTCTGGCTAATAAGATATAGTGTAACTCCATCACTCCATCCGCAGGTTTTGTTGTGAAAATGATTTCTTAGGAATCTCCCAGGTTTGCCTACTTAAAAGAATGAGCTGTCTTGGTGCAAACAATGTCAAAGGATTGATTGAGGCGCCTGACTCTGGCCTCTGCCCATGTATACAGAGAAGACGTGGTGAATTGCTTACTTTGCGTATTTTTCTGCTGTACACTGTATATTGTGATACAGCTGTTCCAACAAAGATTGATTTTTTTGGAAATCTCGCCAATGTGCAAAACCCGGGTTTTGTCCCTCACTTGATTTTGTCTCTCCGCTAATTGGAAGAATACAGGGAATAATAAACCTGTAATCAAGTTTTGTCTTTGGTTTTAGCCACTGCGGAGACAACTTTCTCCAAAAAAAAGTTGTCAACCTTTCTTGGAACGGCTGTAGTTTAGTCCTGGAGATTACAGGTACGATGGAGTGAACAGAGCGATGTTTGTGTGGGAGCTCTGGGATTATGCAACCTTGGCGCAACTTCAAGTAAATATTGAACCCATGGAACAAGCATATTGAGCAATGCTGATTGGGACCGTCGTGTGATAGAAACCATCAAGGCTATGAGCTGAAAAACTTCCAATGAATGGTCAATCACGCGGATTTGTCAGCGGTTCTGAGGACCAAAAATTTGGCGGAAAACATGGTGCTTATTTCAAATGGGGATGGCTGATCACCGACGCTTGACTGGTCAGTTGACGATGAGACTATTGGCAATGGGTGGACATTGCTTTGGTTTTGACTATGTGAAGGCATAACTTGCATAATGTAGAGCGTAAGTGTACATGATAATTGAATACAAATAATTTACGGCATATCTGGGTCCAAGGTAGAGTGATATAAGAAAGTGAATGAGTCCATGAAAAGGAAGAAAGGTATAATGTCCACTCTCGAGTAAATTTGGGCGCTGTGGCGATGTGCAATGTCATGTGGAATCAAATGATTAATGCTCATTGATAAAGACGTACTGAGGCAACCTCCTGTGTATAATGAAGAATGTCAGCAAGTGGTTTTGTTTGAGAATTGATTGAAGGACGGTACTAACCCAAGCTGCGTCTTTGAAATTTGCGGGGTCTTTGACTGCTTCCGAGCAAGAACCGCCACATTGACCGCCGCTAGTGTATGCACCCTGTGATCCTGCCCAATCACCGCATAATGTCTGAGAGTTGGATAGATCAACAAATCAATTCGACTTGCTCTTCATCGTACAAAGATGTAGGGAAGACAGGACTTACAATATCAAAGACTATTCTATGTTCACCGAATTGATTACTCAAGTTGTTACACTCGTCATTTGACCAATGAGCTAATGGAGGATGACTTGACCATGAATCAGGGTTAGGTTGATGACCTGGTGTTAAATCAGTTGGAAGCTGGTCCCTTGCAAATCTCCAAATCGTGATACCAGATTGTTTCCATTCCATCACAAAAACTCCACCACCGTTGTCATTGAATGGTTTGCCGAATGAAATTTCTGATGGATCTGAGACTCCACAGCCCGAGTTTCCATCTAATGCTGCATCACAATTCTTGTCTAAAACAGTGCCCATTGCTGAATTGGACATTGGAGTTTGAACTGAGCAACCTGAAGCAGTGTGGACTGATAAAAATTCAAAACAAAACAGAATTAGGATCTTCCGGAAATGTTAAAGATAGGAAAATAAACTCAACGTGTCATTTGATTTTTGGTCAACATGTTGACCCCTTCAACGATGTCGATCTCTCCTCCCATTGGCCAATTATCACCCACGGTCCAGACTATAGAACGAAAATCCAAATAGGTCAGAAAAAGTAAAACAATGACGCATATGCAAGGATTTGACTTACAAGCTGGCCAAGTAGAACATCCAAATGGCATTTTGATTGCGTCTAAAACAAGTAAACCGTATTTAAAAGTAGATTTGCTTGTAATCCTTACACTCTTTCTTGGTTCACCATCACCTAACCAAGAAGAATTGTCTACTTGTATTTTAGCTGAATTTGGTGAAGTAGAAACTAAACCGGATTTCCAAGCTTCATCAACTGGTTGATATGAAACCATTCCATGAGTCGGATCAGCTGGAACAAAGCCAAAATGAATGTTTGAAATAAGTTTTGTGTTATTTGGAGTCAGAAAAACTGAGAGGAAATTTTGAATGATGATTTACCATCTGAAAAGAAGTCCCAGTTATCAAAGAAAGAATGGCCGGATGACTCAGAAACTAGTTTATAATGACCAGGTACGTAGCCTGCAGGTTTCACTTGTCTATTGAGACCTGTGAAACGTGTTTTTTGTGATTTATGTCGATGATTTTTCTTTTGGATTTTGATATGATGTGGACGAGGGATTTCGTGAGAAGCAAAAGTGGTAGGTAAGGTGATCATGACCATCATCGTGATGGCCACTTTTAAGGCTGATATTTGAATCATCTTGAAGGCTGGTGTTGATCTATAAGAGAATGTTTTTAATGATAAGTGTCGATAGCTTTGAAAGCTTTACAAGGATATGTTGGTAAGTCGTTGGGTGATGTGGTATGAATAAACTAGTAAAAACTGCAAATGAGAAAATATGTTGATCAGTTGGATAATTGAGTCGAAGTGATTGATGTCTTAATCCACAAAACCTCTGAGTCTTTCGGCTGAGGAAAGGAAGAGTGCGACCATTGTGACGGATAGATAAGTTTTATAGCTTCAGTGAAAGTGGATTGCTCTTTGAGATGTGCGGTTGGTCTCTCAAAGGTTGATTATATTACATTGGACCTGACTGGATGGAAACGAAAAGTGAACGAGGTGCGTTCATGATGAAGTTCTGACTTCAAAAGTCTGGCTGTTTGCTTCATCTGGTTCAGTTTTTGTGTAACGGTTTACGATGCTGAAGTGCCAATTTACTCGAGGGATATCGAATGGGAATTGACCATCCTTGTGCTGGTGCATCCGGCTTGTCGGACGGTTTTACATAGCCTCAGGCTCCAGGGAAGCAATCATATCGTCATAGGCCAAACCTATGAAAGGCCTTCTAAGAAGTTCAACCTAGCCAGAACAGGTGGCGGTGAAGCGATTACCTGAACCAGGACCGGCTCAATTCATGAAAGCTATCTGATTCCCGCTCTCATGGTCATCGTCAACACTTAGAAACACGGTCATTTGAAGTGAGATGCCGCAGCAGAGCGGCTGGCACGATGTCATGTGCTCAGCACCTAGACGAAAACTCGCCAAGAATTCTCATCCAAAATATCATCTAGCGTCTATGTAAGACTGCCAAAGGCGCACAGACTCAGTCGTTTGAATTGAGATGGGGTGTTTTTATACGAGCATCACAAGAGATATACAAAACAGAAACAAACACGAACGAGCCAGTTTTTACTTGACCATTTTACCACCCTGCCATCGTACTTGGCAAAAGATGGGCCACCTTTTCCCAATGGTGCCAGATTCCAAGCAAGGACATATAACCAGATTTGACCTCGGATTGTTTCTTTTGGTTATACCCGATTTGCCTGGCATGAGTCCCTGAAACTTCCATGAGTTCTACGCTGATCCCAC